TATCCGCCCTATCCGCCCTACTTGCGCCGCCCGCGCCGCCCGCGCCGCCCGCGCCGCCCGCGCCGCCCGCGCCGCCCGCGCCGCCCGCACCGGACCCGCTGGTCTCGCCAGCCGCTTCGGGCGGCGCGGCAAAGGTGAGGAAGAGAGGCGCGAGGGCGGACTTTGCAACGCGAGCGAGCGAGACGTCCGCGCCTCCGAGCCTCCGGCCCGGCCTCAGGGGCGTGGTGAGGGGCTGCGGCGGCGAGGCGAGGCTGTAGAGCGCCTCGCCGGCCGCAAAGAGCGAGCGCAGCCGTTGCACCCTCGCCGGCCGGTCCGGGGCCGCCTTCACCTGGCGGGAGCGCACCCGCGAGCGTTGGGGAGAGAGGCCTCAAGGCCTCGCGCCGCGCGTGCAGGGCCGAGCCCACGCCTCTGCCGTCGCCCGCGTGAGGGCGGCGACGCAATCGGACTGCGCTCGGAGCTCGGCCGCCATCGACGGGTCCAGCCGCTCCAGCAGCAGCTTGCGCAGCGAGGCGTACACCGCCGCCTCCTTGGCGGCGCGGAGCCCGTCTTGCGCCTGCGCCACGAGACCGGCGTGGAGGCGGCGTCCACGCACCGGGGGCGCGTTCAGCACTCGGCGGTGACGGTGGGACGGCCGTGGCGGACACGAGGGACTGTACGAGTACGAGTGCTCTCTCGCGCCTCGACGTGGCTCATCCAGTAGAGACTGCACTCGAGCTCGGCGTTGCCGATCGCCGACTCGAGGAGGAGGCTCGCCAGCGGGCCCGGTGCGGGCAGGTGGCTCTCGTGTGCGATCGCCTGCACCAGCGGCAGCAGGAGGCAGAGCAGCATCCCGCTGTCGGCTGCCGTGTGCACGCGCAGCACCCGCACGGCGAGAGCACGGACGGCGAGCGGTGCGGCGTCGCGAGAGGCAACGAGCGCCTGCACCGCGTCGGCGAGAGGCAGCGGAGATATTCGGCCCTCGCTGAGGCGTGCGCACTGAGCTTCCGCGGCGGATGATCCGGAAGAGTCGCCCTTCCAGTCCACCGCGAGCAGCGACAAGAGATGGCCCGAGCCGCGCAGTGCGCTCGCGCTCTCCGAGGCAGCAGTGCGCATGTGTGAGATCGGGCGGCCTTATGTATCGATCACGCGAGGATGGTGAAGGGCCGATACTCGCGGGAACTGCACAGGGTTCCGGCTCCTAGCCAGATAGGGGGTCTGTTGACCATGATCCTGTCCGAGCCTGTCTGTTCTTCACCTTTCTACCTACCTACCATGACTCGCACCAAAACGCCCTACCTACCTACCTATTGCGGGCGCCAATCGCCAGGCTCCGTGCCCCACCTACCTACCTACCTATTCCAAGAGAAGAGAATTCAAATTCCTATTCCCAGGCCGCGCAGCGAACGAAGCGAAAAAATACCTGTTAGCCCTCTGTGAATAGGCTCCCAGCGCCCGCCGCGTGCCGGCTTGTACCGCGGTGCGCGCCGCTCGAAGGGCCGATACTCGCGGGAAGGCAGGGTTCGGGCTCCCCGGGACGGTAGGGGAATATCGAATTTTACAACGTAACTCCCACAGCATTGGGAGCTTTGCAATCAATGTAGCCGCCGGCAGCGGCACCGCACACACACTCGTCGAGTACTTGCAACTTGCTCCGTCTTCACGACGCTGTGTGTTTGATTTATCGTTAGAGCAGGTAGCGCTTCGTGGTCTCATCGCCTTGTTCCGTCGCGAGGCCATACGCCTCAGCTGGCTGTACAGTATTGGGAACGGCACAGATCTTGTCTGTCAGCTCTGACCGTCCGTTCCGATCGGACGTATTCATGGTGTCACGATGAAAGGCTTGTCAGCAATCCAGCGAGCGCACAGACAAGGATGCCCTTGTAGAAGCACATGTTGCCGCGCCAGCCTCTCCCAGCGATGCAGCGTCCGAATACGCCGCAATGGTGGTCGAAATCCAGGACGCACCGCTCGCAGATGGAGCAGTGATGTGCTTTTGTGCCATCAGGGCGCCAAATACAGCAGCGCACGCAATACACGTTACCGCCTTCGTAAACGTTCTCCAGACCCGCAAGCGGCTGCTGCAAGCGCAGCCGGTCGAGTACTGATTGAGGCAGCGGGAAGCAGCGCTCTTGTGAGCGCTTCAGTGTGCCCGGGTCGGCCCACATCAGCCCACAAAGGCACACGAGTGCTAGAATCGACTCGATGTATAGTAGGGCGAAGCCGACATTGCAACCCAGTCCTGGCACCTTCGACGGGCAACCCACTGCTCGAAGGTGCGGCGAACCGGCGAGGAGCGCGATCAGGGAGAGCACGACCACGGTGCCGGTGGTTGCCTGCGATCTCATCTGTGTGAGATCAGGCGCTGGCATAGGCGGCAGCTCCTCCACGCGCACAGGCACTCCACCCTCCTCGGACACGAGCATTATGCTGAATTGGAGCTGCGTCTCTGCGTACTCTTTCGAGCCAAACGATTTCGAATTCCCCCCTTACAACACATGTGAGCCGTGTCGGCGTTTCTTTTTTTAGCCTTCGAGTTTTGAACAGAGTAACAAACGCAAGGGGAATGCAGACCCAGGAAGGGCATTTTTCTGTCTTTTTGTAGTGCGCGCCAGTCCCGTGCCCAGTGTTGTCAGGAATAAATACATAGAGCAGTCATCTCCAGGGAGAGATGGGCGACGCACACGAACACAGAGGCACCGTGCGCACCAGCGGAAAATTCTCTCGCGCGTTTGCGCGGGCAGGTAAAGGCCGCTCGGGGCGACTCAAACATGGCGGAGCAAGCCGCCCTCGAGCGACTCCTCGCGGACCTCCGCTCGCCCATCGACGAGTCTGCGCTGAGCGAGAGCTTCTCCGACGTCGGCCTCGAGGACCTGCTCGTGGCGGCCGCAGCGGGCGACGGCGGCAGCGACGGCGACAGGGAGGAGGGCGGCGGCGAGGACCTGCCCGTCTCTGGCCGCGTGGTGGCCTCGCTCCAGGCGGAAAACGCGTCGCTTCGGAGGAGGGCAAAGCTCGCCGCCGCGCAAGCGCAGGCTGACCTGCAGACGTACCGGGCCACGGCCGAGGCGGCGCAGGCGCGCACGCGTGACGAGGTCACCTCCCTGCGCGAGGCGCTCTTGGCGGTGCAGGTCGAGATGCCCAAGCTGCGCGACCGGCTGGTGGCGAGCAAGCAGGAGTTCGCCTCGCTGCGCATCTCGGCCGAGCAGTACCGCGCGATCGTGACGCAGGAACACCGCCCTCAAGCCACTCCCAAGCGCCAAGCCGCGCCCGACGCCACCCACCGCCGCCGCGCATGCGCATGCAGCCAGCGACTCCACCCGACGCCCGCCCACCTCGTCTGCAGGCGGACGAGCAGACCAGCGTTGTGCAGTGGGTGCAGGCGCGGGTGCACGAGATGCTCGCCGAGGCGGAAGCGGCCGCTCACAGGTTGGGCACCAGCGCACCGGCTCCCAAGCCCGTCCCGCAAGCGTGCTCTAGGCGGAGCGTCCGCTCGGAGAGCTGCGCGGGCAGGCGACGGCGGCCGCCGTGGCGCAGACCGGGATCGCCGCGCAGCTGCAGGCGGAGGGCGGCGCTCGAGTCGCCGCTGAGTCGTCAGTCCGACAGCTCAAGACGGAGGTGTGAAAAGAGCCGTGGGGGGGGGAGGTGGGAGGGCAAAGCCGGCGGCGCTCCCCGCTCACCCGCCGCGTCGCCGCCCCGCGCGCGCCTAGGTGCACGGGCTGAGGGAGGAGCTCAACGCCGCTCGGCTCAAGCTCGCTGCGGAGCGCGCCGCCGCCGCGGAGCGCGACGCGGAGCACGCGGCGGCGCTTGCAGAGGCCGCCGTGGTGGCGTCGGCTGCGGGAGCGGGCGCGGGCGGCGCGGTTGCGGCGCAAGAGCCGGAGGCCGTCGTCGCCGCGCGGGTCGAGGAGGCACGGGGCGAGGCGGCGCGTGCGGCGGAGATGGCGCGCGAGGCGGGGCAGAGGGAGCAGATCATGACGCAAGACAAGGCACGATACCATCACCGCCGCCGCCCTCGCCGCCGCCGCCGCCCTCGCCGCCGCCGCGCACACCGCCGCTGCGCCCACGCCGGGTAGGCGTACCTCGCGGGTCGGCTCGAGGTTGCGAGCGAGAGGCTGCTGCAGACGGAGGCGGTGCTGGCGCGGCGCGACAGCGATCTCGCCAGCATGCAGGCGGGAGGAGGGGATGGCGAGGGCGTGCGGTGTGTGGCGCACGGCCCCCGTGACGCGTCGTCCGTTGCGCACGCCAGGCGGCCAAGGAGGCTGCCGAGGCGAGGCTGGCGGCGGCGGCGGCCGAGCACGCGGAAAGCTGCTCGAGCCGCGTGGCGGAGGAGGCTGCAAAGTGGGAAAAGGCGGCGGCCGCCGCGGCGGCGGCGGCCGAGTCGGCTCACCAGGCGACGATGGCGCCGCTGCGCGAGGGTCGGGATTTGGCGGTGGCCGACGCCGCGGCGTGGCGGGCGCGGTACGATGCGCTGCAGCAGCAGTGCGCCGAGCCGATGCTCGCATGGCCCCGCTGGGCTCGCGTCTCACGCCCGCCCCCCCCCTCTCTCCTCGCCCCCCCCCGCCCTGCCCCGACTTAGGCACAATGAGCACACGGCAGCGTCGGCGGAGCAGATCTCGTCGAGCCACGCCGCCCTGGTCGACGCGCGGGCCGAGCTCAAGCTCCGCAACTTCGAGCAGGAGCGGCTGCAGGCGCGGCGCCATCTCCGACGGCGGCACACCGCCGGGGCCCACCCTTGCGCCGCCCCGGTCGTCCCACCTCCCGCCGCCCTGCCCCGCAGTCGCGGCTCGAGCAGGCGGCCGCCTTGCAGCAGCGGGAGTCGCTCGCGGCGGACGCGGCGCGCGCTGGAGAGAGGTCCGAGGCGCGTAAACTCTCGTCGCAGCGCACGCCAGCTCGCCGCCGCTCCGTCGCCGCCCCGCAGGCACGCGAGAAGCTCGAGTTGCTCAAGCACGAGTACTACGGCCTGCAGGCGAGCAGCGGCGAGGCGGCGGCGGAGCTGCGCGACGCGCGGGCGCGGCTGAGGGAGTACGACCGGTCCGCTCCGGCGCGGCCTCGTCGCCACTGCGGCGCGTGGCCGTGAGGTGCGAGCGTGCTCGCGGCTCGTAGGCTCGAGGGCGAGCTGGACCAGTCAGTGCTGCAGACGGGCGCCGCAGCCCTCGGCGGCGTGCTCACGCCGCCGGCTGTGCGCGTGCCGGTCCGCCCGCCGAGGGCGCACGCCTGCCACGCGGCGCGGCCCAGCCCCATGTCCCCTCGCCCAGGCGTCCGCGGAGGCGCGGCTCAAGCAGTGCGTGAGCTTGTCGGCGGAGCTGATTGCCGCGAGGCGCCCTGCGCGCAGCGCTCCCCTGCAGCCGTTGCGCTCACCGCGCGGCATCCTCCTCAGCCCCGCGCGCGCTGCAGGCGCGTCGCCGACGAGCTGCGCGCCACCCTCGCCGCGCGAGAGGCGGAGATTGGCGATTTGCGACGCGGCATCGAGCAGGCGCGGCGCCGCACGCAGTTCGCTGCCTCGCCGCAGACCTTCCTCATCGACAAGATCGAGGCGGCCGAGGGCGGGGCGCGCGAGGCGGAGGCACGCGCAGCCGCGGCGGCGCAGGTGCGTGGCGTCGAGGGCCCCATTGCGACACTAGACGGCGGTGTGAGAGCGGCGCTCGGTGTGTGCGTAGGAGGCGGCCGACCGCAAGGCCGCGCTCGACGCGGCGCACGAGCAGCAGAAGCTCCTGCAGGGCGACCTCGAGCGGCTGCTGCGGCAGCGAGGCTCGATCGACTCGCTCCGCACCACGCTCGCGCGACTTCTGTGAGGGGGAAAGACACCCGCGGGTTGGATGGGTCGCCCGTTTTTCTTATTCAGAGCGAGGCCGAGGGACACAGGATCCGAAGGTGCGGTGCATCTTCTCGACCACCCTCTCTCCTCATACCCGTCACTACTCGGCCGCCGTCGAGGCGAGCCGGTCAAGCATGCGCAGCGCGTACGGTCGATGCGTACGGTCTCGGAGGCCGCGCGTCCGAGGGTCAGGGTGCGTGCGAGGCCGAGGGGCCGGCCGTTCACGTGGGTGCCGTTTGAACTTTGATCGGACCGTTTGTAGGAGCTAACCGAGTGCGCGCGTGGCCAGGACAGCGAGCCGCGCGACAGCCCACAAAGGGACATGTATGACAGTCAGGCAGGCTCGGACTGGACACCAACGCGGTTTAAGGGTGACGCGGCAGGATTAAATTCTTTTTTTCGCGCACAACACACACTGGGCGATGAGGTGACTTGGACCACCAAGAGCTGGCTGGGGCTGCAGAAGCAGCTGTTCTCGGTCGTTATTCATACGCAATCGCAGAGCAGATTGTGAATGAGCTTGCCTGCGGCGAGGGCGGTCGAGTGCACGGAGCTAAGTGCCTCGCCGTCCTCGCAGGAGTCGCTTAGGCGGCTCCCGTGGTGTACCTGTGTAGTGTTAGTGCCAGTGCGCGCCAGTCCCGTGCCCAAGGGAAGAAAACGGACAACCCAAGGGAGGGATGGGAGGACGGCACGCCGCCACCACACAGGGATTTTAAGGAGAGGGGTGTGGTGCGCTAGCCGTCGCCCACCCTTGGGCGTCCGCCTCTTCCTATCTCTCTTCGCAGTCTCTCGCCGATTCTCGCTGCATAACCTTCATGCCACCTCGCGGTCTTCCCACTCTCGTCGTTCTCTCCCTTGTCGCTTCTTCCTCTGTCGCGTCGCTCTCCTCTGCCTCGTTCTGCGACGCCGCCGCCGCCTGCCGGTCCCTTGTTCTCGCGGCTTCTTGCGCCTTTCGGCGCAGCTCCGCCCTCCTCGCTGCATATCCTGGCCCCTCGAGTCTATCGAGCTCTCCTCGCGCAAGGACGAGTCTTCTGACGCCCACTGCGATCATTTGCCGCCCAGTCATGTCGTTGCTCAGGTCCACTCTCTCTTCGACCACTTGTGCCTTCACGGATGATGCTGGCGCTGGCTGAACCTGGGGGGTCCGGGACCGCCCCGCCGGAGGCTGGTGTATCCGGGAGGAGGAGATGGGGGAGGGGAGTTACCGCGGTACGATAGTGGGCCCACCGGCGAGCCGGAGGGCCGTGGCCGGAGGGCCCCGGGGGGGGCTTGGGGTCAGTTGTCGGAGGAGGCGAGAGATGAGCTGACGCGGCCTCTGAGAGTGGAGTCGGGACGTACGGGCTCACCGGGGGAAGGCCAGTCGCAGTGGCAACCGGACCACCACGACCTTCGACAGGGAGGGCCACGCCTCCCCGAGCCTGGAGAGGAGCCGGCGGAGGGGGGGGGCGAGCCGAGGACGATAGAGAGGCCGCGGGTGCGGGCGCGACACTCGTCAACCAGGGAGAGCGGGCTCGACCCCCCGGGGGTGGAACTGGGCGCGACCCAATGCCACCGTTCTCGCCCGGGGTGACCCCGGCCGGGCCGTCGACACTCTCAGAACCGGTGGAGCTGGGAGAGGCTGGCGAAGACGAAAGGCGGCAGCGGAGGAAGCGACACCAACAACGAGGGAAACGACCACACCGGCCGTCGTATGACGCTCGGCAAGCGAGCAAGAGAGCGAATCGGGGAGAACCGGAGCCCCGGGAGGACCGAAGGTGGAGCCCCGGGACCGAGGACTAAGCAAGTGTCTGTGTTTGGGCGTGGTGTCCAGTGTAATGTCCACTAGCTCCGAGTAGAGGGGGCGTCCTGCAGTTAAGGGGAAACCCGGTACGCGGGTCCAACGCCTCGGAGAACTGTGTTTACTTTAAGGCCCTTGCCCTGCGAACGCGCACCCCCGGGGCTAGGGCTCTCTAGCCCGTAACCCGATGCCAATCATCCGGCCCGCTGGGTGCGCTTCTGAGCTCCCCGGCCCTGGATGTGCGGTTAATGACTGCACTCCAAGTGCTCCAAGTGCCTCCCGCCCCCCCCTTCCCAATCCTTCCTTGGCCTAGGCTCCTCATCATCCTCGAGCGCGCGTGCACACCCCGCCCCGCGAAAAAGAAGTGTTAGTGCCGGTGCGCGCCAGTCGTGCCCAGTAGGTAGGTAGAAAGAGGTGAATCGTGCCCGCCCCCAGTGTGACCAGTGAGTAGTGAGTTTGAGTGTGTGTAGTGTGTGTCACTAGTGAGTGTGTGAAAAAAGAATTCGAGCACACGCTCTGCCCCGCGCGGTTACGAACGACCGGGGTGAGCGGGATGGTACGCACGCGGACGCGCCGCGAGAACCCGTGCCAGGCAAGCGAGAACCTGAAGCTAACTGTATAGCCCTCGTTGGGGGCAGCGGTGCGCGAGCGACTGCGGATTCGGCCTCAGCCGCCCCTCGAGCCCGTCGGCGAGGAGCGGGCGGCGCGGAATCTGGAAGATGGAGAGGCTCGACTGCGGGCGGTCGAGCGTCTGCACCGCGCCCATGAGCGTGCGCCGCTGCCCGGCGGGCCCGAGGCCGCGGGAGTGGAAGCCGGAGGTGTCGGCGAGGACGAGGGTGCCCGCGTCGACGGTGAGGGGCTCGGTGGCGTGGAAGCCGTGCCGCTTGAGGTCGTGCTGCTGCGCACGGAAGACGCGGCGCAGGCACTCGGGGCTCGAGGAGCACCACTGCGAGCGCGCGACGTGGCGCGGCGAGCACTCGGCGCGCTTGTCCGACGAGACGTTCGTCCGCTCGAAGAGCCAGCGCAGCTTGCGGAGGGAGGCGGCGTGCGAGCCGCGCACGTAGTGGAAGGGGCCGCGCTCGAGGGTCACCGGCTCGAGGAAGATGAAGATCTTCCACGTGGGCATGAGCTGGTCGATGTGCATGCGGTACTGCGCGTCGCTGTCGCGGAAGACGTGCTGCGCCGCCGGCGTCACCCACACGCGCTCCTCGGCGAGCGGCCGCGAGCTCAGCGGCGCGTCGAGGCCGCTCGCCAGCCCGAGCAGCTCCACCTCCTCCGCTGTGAGCGAGAAGTTGCTCGCGCCGGGCCGGAAGTTGCGCAGGCGCGTCGTGAGCAGCCCGTGCCGCATCCACGCGTCGTGCAGCGCGTGTGCGCCCCACCGCTCTCGGCGCACGCGGTCGACGTGGCGGCGCGCGAGCAGCGAGCGGAAGACGGCGAGCCCGCGCCGGTTGAGCGGGTGCTTCGTGAGCGCCTTGCCCGTGTCGAAGATCAGCGCCTCGAGGCTCTTTGCCGGCAGCTGGCGCACCTCCTCGAGCAGCGCAGCCAGCGGCGTGCCCGTCGCCTGCTCGAAGATGCGCTCGTCCGACGAAGTGAGCGACGGCAGCAGCTTCGACTCCAGATGCGCGCGCAGCAGCTTCGACTCCACATGCGCGGGGAGCATTCCCAGAGGGACCACAGTCCGGCTGTGAGGGCGGGCAGGCGCCGTTCCCTCATGTCAAAAACATTGCATTTTTGTCGTCGTCAGTCGCCGCATACATGCACCATTTCCCGCCTGCCCTCTCCCGCCACGCGCCGTCCGAGCCCTCTCCGCTCTTGCACAGGAGGAAATTGGAATTAATTAATCAGACAGATAACGAGGGAGGGCGAGACGATCGAGGGGTCCCGTACCATGCGGAATCGACGCTATCCAGTGCTCAAGTCTAGTGCTCAAGTAATGATGCGAGGACAGCCAGGCACGGGGGGCAGCCAACCGATTTTGGGATCGCTGCTGTCTCGGCGAGCGGCCAGAACCAGGCCTCTCAGTTCACGCCGGAATCGTGAACCGTGAACCGTGAACCGTGAACCAACTAGCCCCCGCCCCGAGTCCGTGAACCCCGAACCGTGAACCGACTAGCCCCCACCCCGAGTCCGTGAACCGTGATCCGTGACCGACTCCTCCCGCGACACCCGCCGCGAACCGTGAACCGTGCACGACGACGAGTCTGGCGAACCGGCGGTGAACCGCCGGTTCGCGAAGTGAGCTTGATTCATGAACTAGTTCAGTGGTTCACCCTCGAACCGACCGTGAACTCTGAACCGTGAACTCGAAAGGCAGGACAAAAGGGCGAACCGCGAACCGTGAACGAACCAGGCGGGGCAGCGTCGGGCCGAACCGTGAACCGTGAACCGACTAGCAACCGCCCTGAGTCCGTGAACCGCGAACCGTGAACGAACCGTGAACCGCGAACTAGTTCATGAACCGGGTTCACGGTTCACCTCGTGAACTGAGAGGCCTGATCGCGGCGCTCTTAGGATTTTGTGGCCACAAAATCGAGCAGGCGGGCGGGCGGCGGCGCGTCTGGTGAGGGGGCGGCGGTGGCGGAGGCGAGGCGGCGCGAGCGGCGGCGCGGCGGGGTGGACATCGCGAAGAAAGAATTATACCGCGTACTACGAAGAAACAAATAGAGGCGGGTGATCGTAAGGGCCAGGGTTCCGGCTCCTAGCCGGAGAGGGGGTCTGTTGCCACTGACTCGACAAACAATGACTCGCGCCAAAACGCCCTACCTACCTAGTACCTACCTATCCCCAGGCCGCGCAGCGAAGCGAAAAAAGATGAAAATAGCAGGTACCTACCTATTGCAGGGCCCTTTTGGGCGAAACAAGACCAACCTACCTACCTATCTGGGAGGGGCTTTCAGACCCCCTTCCGGCTATACTGTACCGGGTAGTCTGCTACGACCCACCTCGCACTGCGATTCGTATGCCCTCATTCAAGGCCTCCGATGGCGTCGAGCTGTGGTACCGCTGCACGGGCTCCGGCCCGGCGCTGATCCTCCTGCACGGCTGGTCGGGCAGCCACCGCTCGTTCGACCTCAACGTCGAGGCGCTCTCCCAGCGTTGCACGGTGGTCACGCCCGACCTGCGCTTCCACGGCAACAGCGGCAAACCATCGTGGGGCTTCCACGTCGCGCGGCTCGCGTCCGACCTGCTCGACCTCATCACCGCGTGCGGGCTCGAGCGGCCGGCCGTGTGCGGCTGCTCGCTCGGCGCTGCCATCATCTGGAGCTTTGTCGAGCTCTTTGGGCCGGACCCGCTGGGCAAGGTCTGCTTTGTGGACCAGGCGCCGTCGCAGTGGAGAATGCCCGACTGGCCGCACTGCTCCAAGGGCATCTACGACGACGAGACCGTGGGGCGCATCTCCGACGCGCTGCACGCCGGCCTGGCGGACTTTGCCGACGGCAACGCGGCGTGCTGCCTGACGGCGTGCGTGGACGCGGCGCTGCTCGAGACGCTCAAGGCGGAGACGCAAAAGTGCGAGCCGGCGCATCTCGCCGCTCTGATGGCCGACCACGCGCGGCTCGACTGGCGGCCCGTCCTGCCGCGCGTCACGCTGCCCGCGCTCAACCTATACGGCACAGAGTCGGGATGCTTCCCGCCCGAGGGCTGCGCCGCGGTCGGCGACCTCGTCCCACACTGCCGGAGCGAGGCCTTCGAAGGGTGCAACCACTGGCTCTACATGGAGCAGCCCGAAAAATTCAACAAGCTGCTCGGCGACTTTGCGAGCCGCAAGGCGGCGATGCCGATGCCGATGCCGCCGATGCCGACGTGACAGTGGTTCTACTCGCCCTCGCGCCTCGGCGGGCGGCGGCCAGCGCCGACCCCGTCGTGCGCCCCGGGAGGCGTCAGGGTTCGGGGGGGGAGGGGGCAGCTGCTCTCTCCAGCGACTCCAGGCGCGGGCAGGCACGCATCACTGTCCCATCACGCATCCAAGGTTTTTTTCATATCGCTCTCTGTCAAAAATACAGACCTCTGCCGGTCCGACCTGGCGCTGCGCACCCACCCTCCCCTCCGGCACATGGCCGATATTCGCCGTTCGGTGTGGGTCAGCGGCGTCGCAGGCGTGCGCGCCGTGCGTGGAGCGTGAGTGTAATGCGAGAGCCGTCCGCGTGGTGTACATGCCGTGTGTCTCCGGACAGCCGACCGGCGCTCACCGCCCCAACTGAACGGCCGGTCCGCCCGAGCCGGTCGCGTAAGGCAGCACCCACGCGTTGAACGGGAACTCGACCGTGTTTTGGTTGATGATGCGGATGGTCGAGTCGGAGACTCCCGGCGTCTGGATCACGGCGTAGAAGGGGTTCTTGTAGCCGCTCGAGGCGTAGATCTCGTAGGACTGCTTGACCTGGTTCGGTCCCTGCGTCAGCTCGATCCTCGCCTTGATGTTGCGCTCGCCGTTCATCGGCTTGAGCAGGATCTGCACAGACTCGACAGAGGAGCCAAATACGTACGACGTAATCTCGCCGCCCTGGACGTTGCGGTTTTCGGCGTCGGCGAGCGAGGCGTAGGCGGAGTCGAGGCCGGTCGGCGCCACCGTCGCGTCGAACGGGAACTCCATCGGACCCTCGTTGAAGACGGCCACGGTCTTCGGGTGCTTGGGCGTCTCGATGAGGCAGTCGATGGGCCGCACGTTGGCGTCCTCGGTGTACACGCTCATCTTGGTGGGAATGTAGGACGGCGTGTGCCACAGCTCGACGCGCGAGTGCACAGGACGGCCGCTGCTCTTGATTGAGAGCTGCGCCCGCGCGATGGCCTCATCACCGATGTCCCAAGTCTTGAGCGTCTTGCCCTCGACGCGGGCGGGCTGCGACGCGGACCAGACGTTGTCGGCCAGCACCGACATGGCGGGCGCCGGAGCGCGGCGGGCGCCAGCGCCGGCCTGGAGCTGGAACGACGGCGAAGCCAGCGCGAGCAGCATTGTGTCAGTGATCACCTGGGCGCTGCTCAAGGGCAGCAAGAAGAATTTTAGTGCCCGCTCGGAGAGTATTCTTTACACTTTAGCTCCGAGTAGAGGGGGCGTTCCGCAGCTAGGGGAAACCCGGAGCGCAGAACTAACCCTCGGAGACCCGTGTTATGGCCCTGCGACCGCGCACCCAGGCGAGACCGCGCCTGGCGGCGGCATACATCCTGGTTGATGCGGACGCCCTGTTTCGCCGTACGAGGCGGGGGTGGCGGCGGGTGCGAGCCGGATGGTGACGCGCGGCGAGCAGCTAGAACACAGCACCTCGTCAGAGCAAAGAGCGCTGCTGGATGCGACCCGCGAGTGCGCTGACGCCATACCTGACGGCGCGGTGGTGGTAGGGTCCACCGACAGCGACGCGATGAGACGAGCCTTCCTGTCCACGTGCCACCGGAGCAAGTCAGTGAGGGACATGGTCCGAACGTCCGAAGCGGGGGTGCTCCGAGAACAGGGCCGGGTGATCGATGGATACAACGGCCGAGGCATCGACTTTGTCGCCACGTGGGAGCAGGCGTACCACAACCGTGACCAGAGACAACGGTGGGACGGCAGAACGGGGCTGCTAGCGAGGCTGAACCACGGGTGCGACGTGCTGGCGGGACACCACGCTCAACGTGGGCGGAGCAGGGAGCTCGACTTCTACGGGGCGATGCAACCGCAGGAGATGGCGACCTACTATTATACGAGGCCGCTGTTCGGTGACCCCAGGGTTGCACAATACGAGCGAGACTGAGCTGTATAGTGTATTATACGTATTGTATTGTATTGTTGTATTAATACGTATTGTATTATGGGTGGCGCGCGAGGCGGTCGAGGCAGGCGGGGCCGGCGGAGCAAGCGAGGCGGGCGAGTCGGTCGGGTCGACCGGGTCGACCGAGCCCGGCGCCCCCCCGCCCCCCCCGCACGCGGCCTCTGGGCGGTATGCGGCGCTGGCGGACCCGGAGGGTGCAGCACCGGAGGCGATGGAGCTCGACGAGGGCTGCGGCGGTGCGCCAGCCGGCCTCCCACCCGGCGTCCGGCCGACGCTCTCCGGCGCCGGCTCGCCTCTCAAGGCATTCGGCGGGGGCTGCGCATGCTGCCCGGCTAGCGCCGACGCCTCGCCCGCCTGCGACCTCTGCCACGACGACGGCGCCGACAAGACGGCCGAGGAGGCTGCAGCGGCTGACGGCGGGCCTGCTGAGGGCGCCGGCGGGGGGAGGGGGGGCAAGCGCCGCCGCCACAACAAACGCGGCGGAGCCGGCGGCGGCTGAGGCGGCGCGGGCGGTCTCCGCCAGGGCGGCGACGGAGGCGGCGGCGAGAGCGGCGGAGGCGGCGACGGCCGCAGCGACGGCGACGGCGACGGTGGCAGCGGCGGCGGCGGCGGCGGCGGCGGCGGCGGCGGCGGCGGCGGCGGCGGCGGCGGCGGCGGCGGCGGCGGCGGCGGCGGCGGCGGCGGCGGCGGCAGCGGCGGCGGCAACGGCGGCGGCGGCGAACAGAATAATACGGATTCTGACATCCGCTGTATAGTGTATTATACGTATTGTATTGTAGTTGTATTAATACGTATTATGTATTGTTTGTGCAACCCTGGGTGACCCGTACAAGCAGATTGGTGAGCGAGTCGAGGCGGTCAAGGCGCAGAGGCTGCTCCAGGAGGATGAGGACGCGCCGAGCCCCGGGGATAGGAGGGCGACGCTGCTCCTACGACTGGGCGCTGAAGGGAAAGTCGACCCGGAAGTCACCTTCTCAGGCCGACTTGGCGAGGCTGCCAAAAAGAATTCAACCCGCATGCCGCATGAGCTCGCCGCCGCCCGGTTGGCCTCCCCTCGCGTCCAGCCCAGCGGCGCTCACCGACTTGGCGAGAGCGCTCGGCGCCACCGACGCCACGCTGTCCGACGTGCTCGGGCTGGACGACGATCTGCTGGCGCTCCTTCCTTCGCCGTGCCTCGCACTGATCCTCATCTATCCCACGGTCAGCGCGGCAGAGAGCTTTTGGGCAGAGCGTTGCGAGCCTTCGAAGCTTCGCCCGGTCTTCCTGCGGCAGCGTGTGGGCGGCTCGTGCGGCACCGTCGCACTCCTCCACGCGCTCTCCAACAGCACGCCGGCGCTCGCTGTTGAGCCGGGATCGCCACTAGAGGAGCTCCTCTCCACGCCAGAGCCGGGCGACGGCGAGGCGGCGCTCGTCGCACGACGCTCCGAGTGGCTGGCGAACTCGACTGCGGTGCGGGCGGCGCATGAGCGGTGTGCGGAGCTCTCTACCGCGGCTGCAGCGGCGGGGCGTCAAGGCCGGCACTACGTGGCGCTGGTCCGGATAGGCGCGCAGCGCTGCGCGTCCATGCTGTCGCTTCCCCGCGATGATGATGATAATGCACGCTCTGGGCACTAGGCACGCGGCTGGCGGTGCTCGACGGCCGGCAGCCGCACGCCAGGGTCGTCGCCGGCATCTCGACCTGCGCCACAGGCTTCCTCTCCGCCGCCGCTGCCGAGGCCGCCGCGCTGATGGCCACCGTCGGGCGCGCAGAGGCAGCGGCGGCGGGCGATGGCGCAGTTGGCGGCGCCGACGCAGCGCCGCGCTCGGCGCTGAACGCTTTTAGCATGCTTGCCATGAGCGCCGCTCCGCGAGAGGTGGGAACTAGGGAGGGTGCGGGCGGTGTATGAAACAGAGTTACCAGTTACCACTGTGATATAATTATAACAAATAAGACCTCACTTGGAGATGGGAAGCGGAAGACAAGACGAGGAGATCTAGGAGAGATCTAGGTGGCAGGGGTGGAGGTGGCGCAGGGGCTCGAGGGCGAGAGAGAGGGATAGAGGGCGCAGGTGCCGCAGCCGCGCTGCGCGCTGGTGTGGCGTGTGCCCCCTGAAAAATCTCTCAGTGAGAGGAATACAATGTTTTAATGCCCGGGAACAGAGAGAGAGAGAGAGTGATCCTTATTAGTGGGCTCTCTCTACGCGAGCGCACCGGTGTTTCTCGTTGTCACCTCAGCGCTCAGTCACGGACTCAGAAAGGCCACACCCACTCTGTGGGAGAGGACGGTGGCGGCACGGAGGGTGGTGGAAGCCCGGGAAAGGGACTGGGCGGTGGAAACGGGGGCAAAGAGGGCGGCACGACGTCGCTGCTGCTCGTGCTGAGCGTATCCATGAACATACGTTCGTTTACATTTCTTTGTCTGTTGAACTAGCCAGGTGAAACCTCCCTCGTTTCCGCAGCCTCGGTCTCCAGTGCGTTTTGCTCTAGCATTTCACCAAATGTACTGACTCGTCGCTTCGTTCAAAGTGTTGTTTCGTGCCGCAAAATGCGCTTTGCGCCAATTTCGAATCCCAGGCTCGATCCGTCTTTGAAAAAGACAGCAGCGGGACAAGGATGAGAGCCATGCCGAACAGAGTGCCTGCCGCCCATCTCCACGCCGTGTTCGCGTATGAAACAGAGTTACCACTGTGATAATTATAAAGAAGACCTCACTCGGAGATGGGAAGACAAGACGAGGAGATCTAGGAGAGATCTAGGTGGCAGGTGGAGGGGTCTCGGAGGTGGCGGGGTTGGCGCTTGCGGCTTCCGCCGGCTTGGCGCAGCCGCAGCGCGCAGGCCGTAACGACCGCTCTGCGGACTGCGCGCTGGTGTCCCTGATCAAAAATCTCTCAATGAGAGGGATACAATGTTTTAATGCCCGGGAAGAGAGAGAGAGAGAGAGAGAGAGAGAGAGAGAGAGAGAGAGAGAGAGAGAGAGAGAGAGAGAGAGAGAGAGAGAGAGAGAGAGAGAGAGAGAGAGAGAGAGAGAGAGCTGTACAGTGACGTGTGTCACCCGGGCTGACACGGAGGAGTGGGCTCTCTCTACGCGGTTGAGAGAGCCCACCCTTCGGATCGCGCACCGGTGTTCCTCGTCAGTCACCTCCGACTCAGTCACGGACGCAGAAAGGCCACGCCCACTCTGTGGGAGAGGACGGTGGCGGCGCGGAGGGTGGTGGAAGCCCGGGAATGGGACTGGGCGGTGGAAACGGGGGCAAAGAGGGCGGCAACGTCGCTGCTGTCAATGCTGAGGGTGACCACGAATATGCGTTCGTTTCCTCCCTTTTGGCTGTTGAACTAGCAGGTGAAACCTCCATCGTTGCCGCAGCCTCATACTCCAGCGCGCTTTGCACTAGCACACCATCAGTCCACTTACTCGTCGCTTCCGCCAAAGTGTTTTCACGTGCCTCATATGCGTTTCGCGGCGTTTCCAAATTCCCCGCTCGATCCATCTTTGACAAAGACAGCAGCGGGACAAGGATGAGACGGCCGTGCCGAAGAGAGTGCCTACCGCCCATCTCCACGCCGTGTTCGCGCTCCCGCGGTGCTGTGGGCCGGATGCAACGATCAGCGGCATTGCGGTCCTCGTCGCACGCGGGGACGGGCGTCGGGCGACAACAAACTTAGTAAAAACAAACATACGAAAGTGGTACGAGGAAAAGAATTACGAATTCAAATGGGGTACACACCATTCTCCCAATACCTCTAACTACACACAGATCATTCTCTTCACCACATGTACACTGAAAAAATGGCGCGTTGCAGGCAGCGTCTTTCTGCGTCTCTCTCTTGACGCTCGTCCAGGGCTCGGCCGCAGGCGCGCTAGGTGGTGGGCGGGCGAAGTCTGGGGGCGGCAGCAGTGCGTCGCGCTCGCGGACACTCAGAACCGGCGTGAAGTCCAAGACGGGGGGAGATCGGGGGATGGGATCTCTGGTCAGACTGTTGCATCGAAAGCGGCAATAGCGGTCGCCTCAGCAGGTCGATGCTGGGCGAGGCGCCGTCGTTCGGCCTGAGTGGCCGCTGCGCCCGGCTCCAGCTCGCGACTGCCCCGACGCGCGCCGCGCCGCCCTTCGCCGCCAGACGCCGACGCCGGCGGCGACGGCGTCAACCCGGGCTCGAGATCATGCAGGCCGACTGCGGGCGGCAGATCAAGACAATCAAATACATCGCCGAGCCTCGGTCTCACTGCGGATCCACACGCCCCACATCACGCAGGTACACGGGCAGGTCGGTCGTCGTTGAGGGCCTTGAGTTGCCGGGCTCCATCAGCATCTGCACCGCCCAGCCGCGGTGGTACGTCGTGTGGTTGATGATGTGCACCAGCATCTCGAAGGCCGACATGTCGCCCTTGGCTTCCTGATCGCCGACAAACTTGAAGCGCCGCCGCGCAAAGAGCTCGTCGTAGGTCACCGCATCGGCCCATCGGATCAGCCAATCGTCGACTTCACGTTGCGACGTGCGCAGCGAGGCAATCGGCGGCGGCGACGCGGTGTTCCGTGCCGTGTAGCCGTGCGAGCGCCCGAGGAGGTGCGAGCGGAATATGTCCTCAATGACAAAATTGTGATTGAGCGTGTGGACGAGGCTCTGGAAGAGGGTCGCGCGCGGCTTTGTGACTTCGTCGTCCGGCAGTGACGCAACTCGCTCGAGGAAGACGTCGTTCGTCCAAGCATTGTATCGAGCGAGCGTGCGCACGGCGGCTAGCAACTTCTCAGCGTCGCGCTGCCTTTGCCTGCGACATGCCACGACCGCGATTGCGACGGAGGCTGCCGTCGTGGCCAATACGAGCCTCATACGAGTAGATAGACGACTGGCAAATGTTCTCTCGAGGTTCTCGAGGTGGATATCCGGTTGGCCTTTGGCCGCGGTGGTAGCGAATGTTGGCCAACGCGCAAAGGCCAACGCGGCCAAAGGATATCCACCTCGAAAAGAATTTTACTATGCACTAGAGTGAGGCCCTCGACGGGCCCCGCCCCCAATGGGGCGGGGTTGAATGGGCTACAGGCTAGCCTGTAGCGCTGGCGTGGCGTTGACATGAGCACGAAGTTGCTAATGTGCGTAGACGAACAAAAAGTAGGGTTGAATTCGTCCACGTAAGGCTTGGGGAGTGCTTGGGGTGGCCTCAGGCATCCCCAAGGGAGTCGCAGCGGTGCCCCAAAAGCAGCTTTTAGCGATTGTCGAACCTCGAAGCGCGTTCGTTTGAAGAAAGGCACACGGTACTATCGCCTATCGGGCCACGGGCGTCGGGTCACCGGGAAACGAAAATTCGACACTTTGAGGGGTGAGAGCATAGCTAGAGTTAAGCCCTTGAAGGGCCCCGCCCCCAATGGGGGCGGGGTTGAATGGGCTGGCGCTGGCGTGGCGTTGACATGAGCACGAAGTTGCTAATGTGGGTAGACGAACAAAAAGTAGGGTTGAATTCGTCCACGTAAGGCTTGGCCTTGGGGACTGGTTGGGGTGGCCTCAGGCATCTCCAAGGGAGTCGCAGCGGTGCCCCATAAGCATCTTAGCGATTGTCGAACCTCGAAGTGCGTTCGTTTGAAGAAAGGCACACGGTACTATCGCCTATCGGGCCACCGGTGTCGGGTCACCAGTACTAAACAAAAATTCGACACTTTGAGGGGTGAGAGCATACAGTATTGTGGCATATCATGTCACATAAGGTCAAGCTTGACCGCAGAAGCATCAAGAAGCGGATACTCCAGCTCGACTGTGCCGGCAACGCTGCCTCCTCACGCCGGCTGGCTGCCAGCAGCCGTCGCGGCCCGTGGCGTGCACCCGAGAGGGAGAGAGGTCGAGTCCGCGTGGCTCAGGCCGGCCAGAAGGTGTGTGGCGACGGCACCGTGGCAGGAGTGCGGAGAAGAGCTCGCCGAACGCGAGCAGCGGAAGGCCGAAGTGTGCCAGCGCGAGAGCCTCGCGAACGGGTGCAGAAAAAGCTCGCCGTGACACGATGCCGGGCGGTGGTGGTGCTCTGGCGGCTGTGCACAGTGGGAAACGTCAGGCTGCAACAGGGCAGCACGATGGTCGTGCCCCGCTGCAGCCTGGCCTGACATGCACAGGGCGAACAGAGACGGTACTATCGCCTGGCGCTCGTCTGGGCCAACTTCGACCGCCGCCACAGCTCGCCACGAGCACGCAGCGACAAAATGATGACCGTGTCGAAGTTGAGGCTGGTCGAGAGAAAGAGGCTGCCATGCGAGCCGGCAACTGGCTGGCTCGGCGTGGACAGCCGGCGGCGACTTTTTGCCGAAGAGCGTGCCTGCCGAAGAGCGAGTCTGACTCAAAGTGCACGGAGTGGGCGCCGCCGACCGTCGGGAGGAGTCCGATGGGTGCCAGGACGATCCAGAGAGCGATGAAGGCGCAAATTGCGCCGCCGAAAGTGGCGGTAGAGGCCAGGCCGTGCGCGTGGGCCGGTCGGGCCACGTCCCGGGGCGAGCGATCGAGGGCCGCGGGGCTCGCCCCGTCGGCCGAGCGGTGCGAACGGCCGGTCGCCCGCTTCGGGTTGGACCCGCCGGGTGGTCCGGCGGCGGATTGCATGGCCGGGCGGGCCTCCGGGAGGCAGCCGGGGCTGCGACAGGGGCAGGGCAGAAAATCCCATTCGGAGAGCGTGTGGCGCGACCCGGTTGCTACTTTCAATGATACTAGCTTGGCCCTTGACGGGCCCCGCCCCCAATGGGGGCGGAGTTGAAACTTGAATGGGCTAGCGCTGGCGTGGAGCGTTGACATGAGCACAAAGTTGCTAATGTGCGTAGACGAACCAAAAGTAGGGTTGAATTCGTCCACTTTAAGGCTTGGGGAGTGCTTGGGGTGGCCTCAGGCATCCCCAAGGGAGTCGCAGCGGTGCCCCAACCAAAAGCAGCTTTTAGCGATTGTCGAACCTCGAAGCGCGTTCGTTTGACTTTGAAGAAAGGCACACGGTCTATCGGGCCACCGGTGTCGGGTCACCGGGAAACAAAAATTCGACACTTTGAGGGGTGAGAGCATGCATTATTGTGGCACATCATGTCACATAAGGTCAAGCTTGACCGCAGAAGCATCAAGAAGCGGATACTCCAGCTCGACTGTGCCGGCAAACTGCCTCCTCACGCCGGCCGGCTGCCAGCAGCCGTCGCGGCCCGTGGCGTGCACCAGAGAGGGGGAGAGGTCGAGTCCGCATGGCTCAGGCCGGCCAGAAGGTGTGTGGCGACATCACCGTGGCAGGAGTGCGGAGAAGAGCTCGCCGAACGCGAGCAGCGGAAGGCCGAAGTGTGCCAGCGCGAGAGCCTCGCGAACGGGTGCAGAAGGAGCTCGCCGTGACACGATGCCGGGTGGTGGTGGTGGTCTGGCGACTGTGCACACGAGTGGGAAAAGTCAGGCTGCAACAGGGTAGCACGATGGTAGTGCCCCGCTGCAGCCTGGCCTGACATGCACAGGGCGAACAGAGACCTTGCTATCGCCTGGCGCTCGTCTGGGCAAACTTTGACCGCCGCCCGGCTCGCCACGAGCACGCAGCGACAAAATGATGACCGTGTCGAAGTTGAGGCTGGTCGAGAGGAAGAGGCTGCCGTGCGAGCCGGCAACTGGCTGGCTCGGCGTGGACAGCCGGCGGCGACTTTTTGCCGAAGAGCGTGCCTGCCGAAGAGCGAGTCTGACTCAAAGTGCACGGAGTGGGCGCCGCCGACCGTCGGGAGGAGTCCGATGGGTGCCAGGAGGATTCAGAGAGCGATGAAGGCGCAAATTGCGCCGCCGAAAGTGGCGGTAGAGGCCAGGCCGTGCGCGTGGGCCGGTCGGGCCACGTCCCGGGGCGAGCGATCGAGGGCCGCGGGGCTCGCCCCGTCGGCCGAGCGGTGCGAACGGCCGGTCGCCCGCTTCGGGTTGGACCCGCCGGGCGGTCCGGCGGCGGATTGCACGGCCGGGCGGGCCTCCGGGAGGCAGGCGGGCCGCGACGAGCAGCGGGGCAGAAAATCCCATTCGGAGAGTGGTTGGACAGACCCGGTTGCTACTTTCAATGATAGAGAAGCCCCTCTCACAGCAGACTGGCTCGGACTGGCACTACAAATGGCAAAAGAATTCTTAGGAGACAAGCCTCTCTCACAGCACACTGGCACGACAAGGGCGCGGACTGGCGCGGACTGGCACACGAAAAGAATTCAACGAAAAGACTCTCTCTCACAAAGAAAGAAAGAAAGAAAACAGACAACCCAAGGGAGGGATGGGAGAACGGCACGCCGCCACCACACAGGGATTTTAAGGAGAGGGGTGTGGTGCGCTAGCCGTCGCCCACCCTTGGGCGTCCGCCTCTTCCTATCACTTCGCAGTCTCTCTCCGATTCTCGCTGCAACCTTCGTGCCACCTCGCGGTCGCACCCTTCTCGTCGTGCTCTCCCTTGTCGCCTCTTCCGGGGGAGGGGGAGAGGCCACCTGTTCCGCGGATCGCGAGCAGGCCCCTCCTTGCCCGGTCTGCGATGCAGGACGGTGGTCGTGCCATCGTCGCGTCGCGAGCGAGGGGCGTGTGGCATGTCTTGCGGGTCTCGCGAGGGGCGCCTACTAACCTCGCTTGCGAGGGGCGTGTGGCATGTCTTGCGAGGCTCGCGAGGGGCGCCTGCCAACCTCGCTTCGTCGACGCGGCGCGTCGTACACATACACACACGCCGCAACCGTCGCCGGCCGCGACACGTTCCCGTCGGCCGGACTGTCCTCGTCGAGAGTGTGTGCCGCCAAGGCGGAACGCACTCAGGGACAGTGCCGACGGGACGCGGCTCGAAGGGCGTGGCTCCGCAGCGCGGCTGGCACTCGTCGCAGAGGCCTCGCCTTCGACAAGTCGGGAACGGCTCTACCCGCAACTTTATCGCTAACACGCGCGCACCGCCGAGCCTGCGGCGGGCGCGCTGCGGCCGCACGTCTACCTCCGTCATAGTGCCACGACGTGCGGCCTAGATTTAGCACACGCGCCTCTGCTTGCAAACACTCACCCAATGAATTGTCATCACCCGTGAGTGCGAGATAGGGTTAGTGGTAGGCTACTAGCCCATGAGGAGGGCGACCATAGACACCTCACTAGACCCCACACACGGTCTCGTCCGTGCCTCGCTGGCCGGTGAGATTGCTAGAGGTGGAGCAAGCCTGCTCTAGCCTCGCATGTCACTTCCTGTCGTCTGTTGTTTGTTGTGCCCTTGTTTGTTCCTTTGGCACCTTGGAGTGCTGGGGGGGGCGACAGGATGGGCGTGGCCCTGAGTTATGTGTACGCTATCATGTATCTTATTCGGACCCCCCCCCTTGGCGCCTTGTGATTTTCGTGCGAAGACAGCGAGATCTCGGCCCGCCGTCCTCCGCTCGCGCCGGCCGCCCATGCGCTCGCGGGGCTCCCCGACGGGGCGGGCCTCGTGCTGATGGACCCAGCCGAGGTGCCCAACCAGTTGGAGCCGCGCCGACGCGCTGCGCGCGACCACCAGGCAGCTTTTCAGCGCGGTCGAGGACGGTGGGTGTTTTTGGCTTCGCCACACCGTCCAAAGCGTGCGCCATGCGCTCGCCGACATCGAGCGTCCGAGCACGCCTGTCCGACGAGCGGCTTGCTGTGCGGACGCCTTCTTGTCGCTCTCTGTGCCAGCCCTCCAACGTGATAGGAACGAGTGTATCGCTTTGACGGATCGACCGTGCTTGTTATCAAGACTGGTGTGACGTACACAGTGACAGACGACACATCTTCTCTCAACCCGCCGGGACGCAAAACGCTCTCGACGAGAGCCACAAGAAGGCGTCCGCACAGCAAGCCGCTCGTCGGACAGGCGTGCTCGGACGCTCGATAACGGCGAGTGCATGGCGCACGCCTTGGACGGTGGCGAAGCCAAAAACACCGATGGTGGCCGTCCGCTGGCGTGAGCAGCGGCGGTCGAGACTCACCCTTCGCGCCGACGACCTAACCTCACTCGGAACAACCTCACCCAAGCACAACCCAACCTAACACGAAACAACCTCACAAAAAGCACGATTCTCAAGTCCAACTGCCAGTAACTGATTTTGGCCCATGCGCATGCTCTTCCTCGTGCTCGTCGCGCGCTCGGGAGCCGGAGTGGCGGGGTCGGAGCTGCTGCAACGGCGCGAGTGGCCGCGAGGGGTCGTGCTGGGGCTCGCCAGAGAACGAGGCCACGGCGCGGCGCTCGCGGCGGCGCACGGGGCAGCTTTGAGCAGTGCAGCGCCTCAACATCAGCTTCAAGCAGTGCAGCGCAACGCCAGTGGCCTCTCTGGAGCTGTGCGGCGGCTGGCGGGCCTGTGCGACGGCGCCGATCCGTGGGCTCGGGACGCGCAGTCGGCTCGCGTGCCGGTTGCCGAGTCAGCCTGGCTGGCGAGAAGCGCCAAGGCCTTCCCTGCATTCTGGGCGCTGCCCAGAAGTGCGCAGTGCCTTTGCTGCGCCGACGGGCGGCCTCGATGCGGATTGCCGCGAGTGGCGTGGGAGCCTCCAGTGGCACGGTCGTTGGTCAACACCGCGGCGCGCGCGCGCCGCGGGTGCTGCACAACAAGCGGAGGGCATGGGCGGGCGCTCTATCGCTTTCCGGAGCCCAACTTTGACTATCGATTGCCGCCGGTTATTATAACCGGTGGGAGATCGTTCCGGCAGACGGGGGGATTCAACGCGGCGATAACTGCCCGAGACGTCCCTAACCTTTATTTATTTCTGCCCTGCTTCAGGAACCGGAGGCCGTCTTCCTCAACCAACCAAACCTCATTACCGACTGCCGGTCGTTGGGGACACGTGACTCCTGCAAAGGGCAGTGTCTCCACCCGGGAGTCGGACATTCCAAACCCCCCCCTGCCCCCTCTCTCTCCCCCCCCCATCCTAGCCCTCTTTCTCTCTCCTCCTCTTTCTTTCTCTCCTTCTCCCTCATTCCCCCCCCCTCCCCCCTCTCCATCTTTGCCGCCCCCGTGCCAACCCCCGCCGCCGCCTCGCCTGCCTCCACCTCTTCTGCCACCTCACCCTTCGCTCCCCCCGCCGCCGCCGTTACCTCCCCCACCCCCTCCCTCGCCGTTACCGCCGTTACCCCATCCGTGGCCGCCGACACCAACCCCCTCGCCCCCTCCGCCGCCTCCCTCTCCACAGCCGCCGTCGCCACCTTCTCCATCACCCTCGCCCCCCTCTCCTCCACCTCCTCCGTTGCCGCCGCCTCTGCAACCCCCTCCCTGGCCGCCTCCACCAAGACCGTCATCCCATCGACCCTCTCCCCCGCCTTCCTCTCCGCCGCCACCGTCCCCGCCGCCCCCTCCGTACCCGCCTCCCCCTCCGTCGCCACCGCCATCGCCATCGCCATCGCCGGTTCCGCCGCCCCTGACACCGGCTGCGCTACCGCCGTCGCACCGGCCATTGCCCTCCCCGCCACCACCATCCCCGCCACCGCCGTCTCCGCCCCCACCAAGCCCTTCCCCCGATTCCTACGGCTAGTGGGAATAGCGGAAGCAGAAATGGCGGGAGCGCTGCTCGGGATCCCGTTCGTTCCTACGTTCAGCGTGGATCACCCTCCAAGCCGTGAACAGGCCCTGTCCAGGAGGCCCGAAAAGAAAGAGAGAAAACAGACAACCCAAACGAGGGATAGGGGAGGGAGGAGGACAGGGTCCCCACCTGCACGAGCAGGATTTTGAGGGAGGATTCCGGGTATGTTTTTCTCTTTTCGGTGTACCTGTGTTAGTGCCAGTGCGCGCCAGTCCCGTGCCCAGTGTTGTGCGAGGGGGTTGTAAAATTCTCTTTTCGCGCACAGAGGGCGCGAAAATCTGTGCTGCCGCGAAATCTGTGCTGCCGCTTCCCAGCAACCCTCAGCTTCCTCGATATGGCGCAAGACGCGTTCGCGCAGGTCCGCTGATCCGCCCCGAACCCCGCCCGCTCTGTTGCGGCGACCGTGCCGCCCACCGCCACGTCAAAAGCCGTGAGGTCCCCGCCGGAGCCCGGCCGGCACGACCTCTCTGCTCCGGTCGCCGCCCTCGCCGCCGCCATCAGCCATCGCCGGCAGGCCTCTCTATCGCGGAGGGACAGTGTCGAGCCATTCTGCCCGCACCTCTCGTGTCGCCGCCGCGCCGAGGGCCCCTCCTTTGCCGATTCATTCTGCCCACCGCCGCCGCCTCTGCCCTCGCCGCCGCCCGCCGCCCCTCACGTCGCCGCCACCGCCTCCGCCGCCGCTTCTCCCGCCGCCGACACGTCCCTCCCCGCCCTCGTCGCGCAGGGTGTGCGCGAGCACTTTGAGGTCTTTCTCGAGAGCTTCTCGAGCGAGCCTGCCTCGGCGCACGACACCTCGTCGACCGCGGGCGGGATGGCGCTCGACTACATGGAACAGGTGCGACCGCCGCCGCTCGCCGCCGGCACCCGCCCCCGCTCCCCGTCGCGGCTCACCCGCCCCGCCCCGCCCCGCAGTGCAAGCAGATGAAGCTCGACGAGCGGACGACTCTGTACGTCGACTTTCGCCACATCGAGAGCACGGACCAGAGTCTGGCGGACGCCATCACCGCCGAGTACCACTACCTGGAGGACGAGCTGCGCAGCGCCGTGCGCAACATCATGCGCAAGCGGTACCCCGAGTACGCCACCGAGGAGAAGGAGTTCTTCGTCAACTTTTACAACACCTCGGCGCTGCTGCGCGTGCGCGACATGAAGTCGGATCGCGTCGGCAAGCTGACGAGCTTCTCGGGGACGGTCACGCGCACCTCCGAGGTGCGGCCGGAGCTCGTGACCGGCATCTTCGAGTGCGAGCTCTGCGGCGCCACGTCCGACCCGGTGCGCGCTGCCCGCACCGGCGACCGCCGGCCCCGGTCCGCGGCTCGACGCCGCCCGCCGCGCCGCCCGTCCCCTCGGCAGGTGCCGCAGCAGTTCAAGTACTGCGAGCCGCAAAAGTGCAGCAACGCGTCGTGCCCGAACAAGACCAGCTGGCGGCTCAAGCACTCCGTCGGCGAGTCCGTCTTTATGGATTGGCAGCGCGTGCGCGTGCAGGAGAATGCGACCGAGGCGCGTTATCGCGACAGCCCACTCCCTTGCCCCCTCGCCGCCGCCTGCCCCGCCACCCCCCCCCTTCCGCGCGGCGTCGCCCGCGCCCTCCCCACCCCACCTCCGCCCCCGCCCTTCCCGCTCGCAGATCCCCGCCGGCTCGATGCCGCGCACCATCGACGTCATCCTGCGCGGCGACACCGTCGAGCGCGCCAAGGCTGGCGACAAGTCCATCTTCACGGGGACCCTCGTGGCCGTGCCCGACGTCGCCCAGCTGTGCGCACCGGGCGAGCGGCTCGAGATGGTCTCGAAGGTCGATGCGCGCAACCCCACCGACGGTGCGCGCCACCCCCCTCGCGGCTGCCTCCCTCCCCACCGAGAGCCTGCGTGGGGACGCGAACCGGAGCGCCTCGGAGGCCGAGCGCGCTCCCGTGCCACCCTTTGCGGCCGCTCCCCACGCGCGCTCCCCACGCCGCGCATGCTTCGCGACGGTCGGGGTCTGGCGCGTACTCCTCCGGCGCAGCGCCCCAACAATTTCCGAAGCGACACGCCCCGTCTTAGGGGGAGCGAGGGTCCCTCTCAGGGCCACCCGCCCTCCCCCCCCGGGGCCCGCGCCGCCCACTGCGCCTTCTTGGTTGGCCTCGCCACGTCCCGTCGGCGCGAGGGCGGCGGGGGCACACACACCGTGCCCGGCCCTGGCCCCTCCCTCTCCCTGCCCCCTCCTTGCCACTGGTGGGTGGCCACAGCGGCAGCGCCCTACCGGCTGTAGCTGGGTCGCTGAGCGCGCTCGACTCACCCCCACCCCCTCCGGCCGACGGCAGGCGTGTCGGGGCTCACCAAGCAGCTCGGCTGCCGCGAGCTCACCTACCGGCTCGTCTTCCTCGCCTCGTCGGTGCAGCCCGCCGAGCTGCAGTCGGGCTTCGTCAACATCCGCGACGACTCGGAGGAGGCGATCCTCAACTCCTTCTCGGCCCAGGACAAGGACACGATCGAGGCGATGCGGACCACGGCGGGCATCTACGAGAAGCTGGCCAAGGCGATCGCGCCGACCATCTACGGCCACGAGGAGATCAAGAAAGGCATCCTGCTCATGCTCCTCGGCGGGGTGCACAAGGAGGCCAAGAAGGAGGGCGGCGGCGACGGCACCAAGCTGCGCGGCGACATCAACTGCTGCCTCGTCGGCGACCCGTCGACCGCAAAGTCCAACTTCCTCAAGTACGTCTGCTCCATCCTGCCGCGAGCCGTCTTCTCGTCGGGCAAGGCCTCGACCGCCGCCGGCCTCACCGCCACCGTCTCCAAGGACGAGGAGACGGGCGAGTTCTGCATCGAGGCCGGCGCGCTCATGCTCGCCGACAACGGCATCTGCTGCATCGACGAGTTTGACAAGATGGACGACAAGGACCAGGTCGCCATCCACGAGGCGATGGAGCAGCAAACCATCTCGATCGCCAAGGCTGGCATCCAGGCGCCGCTCTGCGCGTGCACGCAGCCTCGCCCGCCGCCCACCCTCACCAGGCCCTCCTGGCTCCCCGCCGCGACAGGCGACGCTCAACGCGCGGGCGTCGATCCTCGCCGCCGCCAACCCGATGGACGGCCGGTACGACCGGCGCAAGACGCTCAAGCAGAACCTCAACCTCACGCCGGCCATCATGAGCCGCTTCGACCTCTTCTTCGTCGTGCTCGACGAGCAGGACGAGCGGACCGACCTCGCGATCGCGTCGCACATCGTGTCGTTGCACCAGCACGGCTCGCTCGCGCACCTGACGCAGCAGCCCGACTTCTCCACCTCCCAGCTGCAGCGCTACATCCGCTACGCGCGCTCGCTCAAGCCGGCCCTCTCCGACGCGGCGGCGCGGCAGCTGGTGCAGTACTACGCCGAGCTGCGGCGCGGCGAGCAGGCGGACCCGGGCGCGTACCGCGTGACGGTGCGGCAGCTCGAGGCGATGATCCGGCTCGGCGAGGCGCGCGCGCGCGCCGAGCTCGAGCAGACCATCTCGGTGGCGCACATCAAGGAGGCGAAGCGGCTGCTCAAGGCGTCGATCATGCACGTCTCGCGCGACGACATCGACATGGTCGGCGACGACGACCTCGACGACGAGCTGCAGGCGCAGGTCGAGCGCGCCGAGCAGGTGCGGCGCGAGGAGCAGGCGCAGGCGGCGCAGCAGCAGCAGCAGCAGCAGCAGCAGCAGCAGGGGGCGGGCGGCGCCGAGCAGCCGGCGGCGGGCCCGAAGAAGGTGACCTCCATCTCGTACGACAAGTACTCCAAGGTGTCGAAGTCGATCGTGCTGTACATCCGCTCGCAGGAGAGCCAGAACGAGACGGCGGGCATGCGGCAGGGCGACGTCGTGGAGTGGTACCTCAACCAGCAGGAGGAGCTCGACACGATCGAGGCGCTGGCC